AGGTTGCAATGTAGATCTTTAACACGGCAATTTGCCATATCTCCAAATTGACTAGTTATAGTGTTTCCATTAAAAGTAGCTATTTCAGCTTTTTCGGCATAGGCATTGGTTGTATATGAGCATTTTTCACCAAAAACCAAGGGTAAGAGTAATGAATTGGATTTTCTGAGCCATAAACATTAGGAGATAAGGTCTGCAATGCTTTACCAAGGAATTTCTTCGCCTCACTAAGGGAGCTACACAGTGCAGAATGCACAAGAGACATGTACTCTTCATCATTGTTAACTGAGAAGGATACTGCAAATACGAGGAGGCGCATATTTCCCGAACTTTTGTAAAAGAATGAAATGCTTTTAGAAGAAAAGGTTCAGTTCGCTCTACATAGACAGCTGCTGTTGTTATCAAAATGTTAGATGAATTCGGAGAATGTGAGCAAGATGTTGTTTCCGGATATGCTACCGGCCATCCCGACTTTCCAGCTGCGCTAATTTGGTAAGTTTGCAAAGGAAGAGCTGATATATTAGGCAGAAAAGAGCAAATATTGTGACCAAGAAAAGTGAATATGGGTATTTTGGAATTCCTGCAGAAAAGTTGCTAGAAATCGAATTAACTTGCCTACTTCTTTGAAAGCGAGAATTTTGTCTTTTATTGAAGGCATTTGGCGGTGTTCTATCACGTCTGCTGCTAGAAAAGTTAGGTGGTGTTCTAGACCTAGAGCGTTCATGATTATAAGGAGATCTCCTACGTGTTCTACTGAAATTGCTGCTTGGAAGCGGTGCAAAACTTATGTTACGTTTACTTGAATATGTTCCACGATTAGAAGAGGAAAATGGGGAGCGAAAACGTGTGAAGTTATTCGAATTTGTGTAATTGCTTCTTGGTCTGGAATAATTATTCCAGTTTCTATTATAATTAGGTCGGCGAATGGCATTCACTGGAGCATTTATTGGAATAAGATGTCTCCTCAGTTTGCGTAAGATCATAGATTCTCTCAGCCTCACTAAGTAGCAGATTGTAATCTGTTGGAAGTGGTCCCAATAGTTTAAATTTCTGCTTTATTGGGCTCAACAAACGATTTGTAAAAATAGTAATCAAAAGAAAACCTCGTTTCTCATCTTGATCTAGACCTGAGTAAGCTTCCAAGATGTTTTCTCTTACTCTGTTTGAGAAAAGGGTAGGAGATTCATTCGAATTCATTTTAATATCCATCAACTTTTCGCGAGGCCATGTCGAGAAAATGATCAGTGGAAAAGTGCAATTACAATTTGATGACTATGGCATTCCAATTTTCCTTTACTTGCGGAGTAAAGTTATCATAAACAGCTTTTGCAACACCTGTCAAGTGAGCGGGTATTAGTCGCACCATCTTATGTTTTGTCAAGCCCATGATTGTTGCAATCTCGTTAAATTGTTGAAGAAAGCGCATAAGGCCTTTACCTCCATGTTCTCCAGAGAATGTTGGTAATTTGGTATAATAAGAAGAAAGCCTTAATTTGGCAAAAACAGAGTCTAAACATTCCACAAGTAACTGTTTTTCTTGTTGTTGGAGAGCTGCTGGATTACCGGCCACATGGTCCAAGAATTGTTGTTGATTTGCGTCCATTTGATTATCAATATGATTATCTATTACTATGGTTGGTTCGAAATATTTTG